AATGACAACTAAGAAATATATGACATCCGTTTGGTTTGCAAAACCATTTTATTTGCCAACAAATTTCCTTATTTAATATGAAAAATTAAATATGGTTTATTTTAAGCTGTGTTCAGAAAAACTTTCTATAAGGGTAAACCCCTATAGTTAATTACATCTTAGATAATCGTAGTCGCTTGAGAATACTCTCGATAAAAATCAGAAAATATTATCTTCAAAGAGGTCAAAAGGATATGACTTTTCAACAAAATCGGACAAAGAGGTGTGCAAAGGAGAATTGTTCAAACTTAGAAGATTTATTGTAGAATCCAAAAGAGGAAGAACTAGGGGATGTCACAGATCCGAATGAGAACCTCGGTGACTTCCTAGTCTACCCTATGGTTTGGTTTCAGTTTCGAGGAGAAATTATTCAAGTGTTTCATCATGCCAATTTTATTTAATTAGGGTTTATATTCGTATGAAACGATCACACAACAGTCTGGAAGATGTGAGAATTTAGGCCGTGACGGATGACAACCTCGAAATTTTAAAACGAGTTAGGGCTTAGATTGCACAGTAGAGTTGTACAAATGCCTAAAAGAAAAGTTGATGATTTATGTCGCACCACACGAACGATCTCGAAATCCCATGGATTGTTGTTTAATTATATGGAAGGAAAAGTTTAGCTGAGGAAGACATGTTCTTCTGTTGAAGATGGTCGTGCTGCCCACCGTGCTAGCTCCAAGTTCCTTGTCGTGATGAGTTTAAGTTTTCTAGGGTGTCAGGTTATGATGTCAAATCCAGCGGCCCTATAGTTGTAGTTCTTTAAACATTTTATAGGGAACATGTTGAAGTTGCACAGTGTATAGCATGACAGTAGAATATGTAGCACAAGACAAGCAGTAGAGTATACTGTAAAGAGAACAATACAACATGCGGTGTAAATGAAAAGTAAGAAGTATGTAGATGATTTGCAAGAAAATAACATGCTGTTAACACAAAGCAAACCTGTATACCTGGGAGATCTGCAGTTCCTCAGGTTTAGTTGATGCAATTAGGTACAAACAAAAAAATTTGGGGAATCAAGCTGAAATGTTTTATATAAACGAAGTAAAGAAACATCACATAGAAATCTCGATAAAAATCGTCAAAAGACTTGCGACAAGAAAAATGCGAGGAAATCGACAAAAATTGTAGAAAACACGGGAAAATCCCGAAAGGAAACCACGAGTGTTTTGTCCAAAAATCTCAAGAAAACATGAAAAAGTTTGAAAAAAAAGGGAACCGCAAAGACTCGGATCGGGGCTAGGCTCAACTATATATTGATATTCGAGGGTCGTCGAAGACTACTTGGTCACCCGAATGTTTAAAACCCGCCACTCAACTAGAAGGGTGTTCTATCAAACCTAACTCAGGAGGGTACTCCTTAGCCCAAACAGGTAATCAACAGGTGGACAATCAATGTTTAAAATATATTTAAAATTTATATTTTTAGCATGCACATAGACTTCAGATTTAGCATGCACATAGACTTCAGGCATACAAAAGAGGGTTGTATCAATTATGTTTGTAGTGAAAAATATATTTTTGTTTTAGAAAAAGGTGTATGTTCTTATCAAATTTATTGTTTATTAATTTTGAAAAGTAGTTGTTCACGAGTCGATCGCGCTGTCGGGCGGAGGGCCACCAACCTAAGAAGGTACGGGTCAACTCCCGTTAGTCTTATATCAGTGAATGGTATGACATCCTACGGTTCACTGGGTCCATTGGGGGGTGTCCCGAAGTCCTAGGATGGAACATTATTTTGCTCTATCATCGAACCGCCCTAAACCCCAAGACAAAACCGAACTACTTGCGACATTGCTTGATGGTATCACGTATAGCGAAATGCTATACATGGACGCTTATGCATCGGACATAAGCATCGAAAATCGAACTAAGAAGCAAGAAAAAAAAACAAAAATGAGGTGAGAAGAGAGGAGAGACTGATTCACCTAAAAAGACACTGATCCACCTAAAACATCGGAAATGAGGATGAATCAGCCCTCAAAACTCTTGAAAAAAAGACCTGAAAAAGAAAGTCCTAAGATCCTTGAATCAATTCGAAAGGATATCATTTTCTCATATTTTATAAGTGGATCAACCCAAGTCGATGTGACGGTCGCACACATGGTTCTACCAATAACTACATGTCCACACACACCCAAACTTGCGCTCAAACGATATCACAACTTTAATGTCAAACTCTCGAAACATCCTCTATGAATTCAATTTAAATCAAGCATATGCTCCCCTGAAAATGAATTTTCAAAGTCCACAACTCAAACAAAAGGAAAGTATCCCAGGGACGACAACCATTTATACTTCCAAAATCATGCCAACATCAAAGTCATCCAATTCCAAATATAATCAAAAGCTTCATATGTTAAATAAACATAAAGACATCTGACTAAAACCACATAAATGCTCACAATCATCCTCAATACACAACAACTAAGGCTTTCGGGTTCAGGGCAGCAAGGAACAGCTGCTAAGGCCCACGACCGAAGGCAACCCAAGGAACAACAAGGCTCACGACTAAGGCAACCCAAGGAAAGGGGGAGCTGTTAAGGCTCACGACCGAGACAACTAAAATAACCACCAGTGACTACTATGCTCCCTCGACATACATAAGAGGATAAATGATTATAATTTTTGGGATGACAAGCTTGATTCATCAACAAAATTCAAACTAATCAAGCCCAACAAGAAGGGCCAAACAATCTCGAATGGCCCACCAACAGGCTCACGAGTAAGACCAAGAAAATGTCTGAACAAATTCCATCACAAGCTCTCAGGTAGGAGCCAGAACAAACGAAATCAAGCCCCTCCAAACTACTTCTCGGGTAAGAGCCAAAGCAAGTAAATTCGTGCTCCAAGGAAAGCTAAAACTGAGCCATTCAAAGCCAAAACAGGGTCAAAGCAAGCAAAACCGAGCTGCAAGGAAAGCTAAAACCGAGTCATTCAAAGCCAAAACAGGGTCCAAGCATAGATTAAAACCCAAGCCTTAATAGAAATTAAAACTCAAACCATCTTAAGGTAAAACCGAGCCATCCAAAGCCAAGGAACAACCCACCTATTTTTGAAACATCAAGATATGGAGCCAATATACATCTTAAATAAGAACAACAACATAGAGAACATATTCACCATATTTGGGCCACCAACCTTACTATTCCAAGCATGAAACAATTTCCAACAGATATTTGAGCAGGGAAGATGCCTCTCGAGGAGCTAAACCAAGCCCTTAAAATAAGTTACAGAGCTTTCCAAATTAAATAAATTTTCTCATAACATTTATTTCGAGCAAGGAAAAACCACAGGGAGCCAAAACCGAGCCCCAATAGAGGCTAAAAGTCGAGCCCAACAAAGGCCGAAAAAACCGTGCCATCCGGTGGCTAAAATAAATCCACCTCAACATGTGTTTCATAGGAGAAGAATAATGTGAAGTAGAGAAGCATGCATAAACCTCAAAGTTAACATTTCAAGGCTTCCAAAATTTTTTGTTTTTTCTCAACCAATGCTTGAACAAGAAAGAGCAGTGATAAATCAAACACCAAGCCTTCAAAATAAGTTCCGAGGGACTTCAAGAGGGACTTTTTTCACACTCCATATAAATTTAGAGCAAATGAGGCAACCATGGGAGCTAAAACTGAGCCCCACATGCGTGAAAGACCAAATAAACCTTCCAATGTCTCATGTTAGATAAGAATAAATGAAAAGCTTCATGATACATATCCTAACATGCTTGCAAAAGGAGCTAACATTGTCTCAAAGCCATGTTTCAACCCTCCTAATTGCTTCCAATAGAAACATGCCATAGCTTCACCACTTTAAACAAGTAATTAAGTCTACCTCCTAGAACATGCTCACATTTTCATTTGTAGATGCTTGAGTACCAAGTATTTAAAAAAAAAACATAAGTGTAATATCACGCAAGCATGCTGTATCGTTCACTGCACCAAGCTAAAAGGCTCGACAGAGAGAAAACCGAAGAAAGACAATTCACAGAGGGGGGAAAAAGTACCTCCATGAAGCAAAGAAAATCCACACAGAAATTTTTAAAGCACTCCTCCACTTCAATCCTTCCTCCAACAGTAAGAGGAAACCAACCCAAGTACAATAGGCTAAAGAAGTAAGTGAGAAAAGAAAATGACAGAGTTTTCCCCCCCAGAGAATTTCGGCCCTTTTGAAACACACCAAACGAAAGCCTCATATAGACCAGAAAAGGAGAAGGAATGATTAAGAGATCGCATATGGCTCAAGAGATCGAGAGAGGCAGAGGATTAGATCTTCGCAGAGGATACGATCCATGACAGAGAAGATCGAACTCAGAACGCAGAAGATAGGATACGAGGGATGGGCGTCTGCGAGATTTGTCTCACGTGCGAGAGGCAAACACAGGAACGAATCCCTCCAACTGCACGAAGGAGCGGGCCAGGCAACCGAACGAGATCTAGGGTTGAGGCAGACCCACGGGTTCGAGAGAATGAGACGGGGAGGGAGGAGATAGGTTTATGTTATAAATAATAATAATAATAATAATAATAATAATAATATTATTTATTGTTATAATTATACCTAAATTACGCATCTTTCCCGAGACGCGTTGTAGGAATGAAACGAATGTCCTTTAGGCAAAATCAACGTTCTGAATGCATCGACGCTGTCCGTTTCGTCATCCGGAGTCGTTTAGACAATTTGTTGACAATCGGGAAAAAAACGCGTCGCGACCTGAATCACGTCAAAAACTTAGCTCGAGCTCAATCAAATAGGACCGCGAAGAGCACGACGGTGTCAAATCAATGCGTACAGTCAATTCTAAGGCCAACAGTTCTATAGGGATGCTCATTGAGTTTCTCCACTGTAGTCTTACTTACTAAGTAATAGCGGTCAAAACTACCATGCGGAACGTCAAGACGAGCGAAGAAAAGCTCAAAAGCTCAGAATATCTAACGGGGAGGGTTCCTTTGTTAGTTTTCTAGGAGTATTTGACAGGGAAGTCCTACGGCTATTCCCTAGGCTATTAAAGAGGAGAAAAAAAAAAAACAAACCCCCCCCCAAAAAGAGGGCAAAATGTTTCTTTTCCTCCGCCAAAAGCGAGGTCAAAATGTTCCTTTTGTGCCTTGATTCGGGCGTGCTTTGAGGTACACATATCAAATGGTTTTTTAAACCACGGGTTTGTCAAATATGTTTGACCCAACACATTATTCAAATAGGATCATTTTTGAGAACTCTCATCAAATTTTCTTATGTACTTCTTGTGATTTGCTTACTTTGGATTGTTATAACTGTATTTCTTTGCAATGCAGGAAAGATTTGATAAATAGTGCTAGGGAGAATTTTATTCAACAAATTCCAGGATCATTAAAAGGGCGCCTTATAGAACTCTTAAAAACATTTAGTCAAAGCAATTCTTTGTTGGACGCTTGAAGTTTCAGCGGCAGTGCTATGGTGATGAATTAGTGTAATTATTATGATTTCTTTTTCAAAGTAGTTTATTTTTTATTTCACATGGTTCAAAAGTTGATAATAGAAAATTGTTGGTTTTGCAGTTTTATTGACTGCTGACGAGATTAGTGTAAATCTGTAATTTTGATATCTTCAAATTTCGATGGCATCCTTGCGGGAGCTTCTGGTATGCTGTGAACTTTCTGTATCATATTCTGTACCCAATCTGGTTTATGACAGCACTGCTTCAGAATTGAAAGTGCTTTATAACTTGCTCTTTTGTGTTTCCAGGTTCATTTGAGAATCTTTTCTTCATCATTTTCTCTTCATTCTTCGAGTTTTGAACAATTGAGGGTGAAAATTTTGCCATCGGTTGAGACCAAGCACAGAATTCTATTCTATTGTAAGATATCTCATTTCTGATGATATTAATGAGCCTCAATTAAGAGGGAAATCTCTCCTTTCTTGTTTCTAAAATTATTGTTGCGTGTAGGTTCTTAATGAATTTATGCCTTGAGTTAATATGAATACATAATTGGCATTTTTTCACCTAAACTTTCAGTTATCTTGTGCCATACCAAAATTGGTTGTGTTTGTTGTTTTGCTCATGTCGTGTTAGATTTTTGTTTCTATGCAATTTACGTTTTCTAGTTATTATGATACGCTGGAAAAGTGCTGTCTTTTGCTCTTAAATGCCTTACAATTTGGTTACCACATTGCTCTTATGAATTTTCTACAATTATTGATTTGATTATTTGCTTGCATCCCTTATATTTAAGTTTATATTAAATTTGTACAATTGATATGCTATTTAAATTTTCTATGCTATTATTCTTGCTTTTGGTGAGCTCGATAAGGGTTGGAAGAAGAGGGAGTGGGAGGGGAAGGGAAGAACCGGTTTCCCTTTGGAAGAAATGAATTGCCAGACCCTTGAGACTTCTCATTTCTTTCATCCAGAGCTGTGCATGCCTTCTTACAATAAGATCATTTATGATAGATGAACTTTGGGGAATAATTGATCAGGATAGCCAATCTAAATAAGCCCTAGGCCATGCAAGTGTAAGTGCAATGTCTAAGAACTTCTTAAATAAGGTAAAATATGCTGAAAAGCAAAAAGAACCCAAGTACATGTATAAGACATATAGCACTTAATTGTTTAGAATTGTCTTGATCAAGGTGATGATAGTTGAGTTCCTCTTGAGTATGATAGATTAAATTGTGGTATACGAATGGTTAGTATGCATCAATTTTCTTTGGTTGACAAGAACTCACTTCTCAATAGGGAAGGTGAAGATTATTTCTCGAGAAGGTTAGAATCTAAGCATTGGGAATAGGATATTTAAATAGCCCCTAGGTCATCCAATGTTTAATAACATTTAAAATAAGACTAAATGTGTTTAAAAGCAAGATGGACCTAAATACAAGTATAAGACAAATAACAGCTAATTGTTTGGAATTGATAGCTGAGTTCATCTTTGAGTATGATAGGCTAAATTTTGGTATTTGAGAATGGTTAGTATGCATCAACTGTTTTGCCTGATAAGAACTCACATCAGTATGGTGAAGTTGATAGGCACTTCTCGAAAAGGTCTGGACAAAAGCATCGGAGCTCACAGTGTATGATTCAAGGATCATCTGTTGGAGGGCACTTATGTCATTTGATAAGGCAACATTGTTGATCAAAGGGGTTGATCGCATGGAGAGGGGTTGCATCTCACCAATAATGACCAATTCCAGATTGGTACGGATCATGTTAGTAGTGGTGTATAGACTCCACCTGAGAGTTAAAGACATTTGAGACTGCCTCCATAAGGCCCAAAATCTTAAGGATTAGAAATAAAGCCTATAGTTCAATTCAGTGACAAGTTTAATATGTAAAAATTGGGTTCAAATTTTCTAATTATGGGATAAGCACTAACCACTCTCGCTTTTCATTTCTTGTATATGTTTGGTGGGAAATACTTGGTTTATATATGAGCCAAGACAGAACTACCTTCTTTGAAATCAGGATTAATTTTATGTGAATTAGCAATAGATTAATATATTATTATGTATAACTATTTGATTTCAAGCGAGTTTTCAACTTATGAAAATGATCTACAAAAAGATTAATATGAAACATTAAATGCTTTCATATGAAATATGTCATTGATTCAATTTTTTATCTAAAATATAAATTATAAATGCTAGTGGCTTTAGAACATGGAATAAAATCGAGTATTTTAGAAAATTTATTTGACTATTGGGATGGTAGAGCCTTGATTTCATATTGTTGTCGCCTTATAATGCCCTATTGCAAAGTATATTCTTGTACCTCTCTAAATCATGGTTAAAAGGTAAGGGGTTATGCCCAGAACTTGGATTCATAGTTATGGCTAGTTGGCAAGTCAAGCATTAGCTAGTAACTCTAACATCATCACACTTGGTAGAAGCCGGTAAGTCTTATCATCTAGGATATTGGTGGTGTTGTCACGTTTAACTTGTGTAGCTTTTCCACTTGAATATAATTCCCATATGAAAACTTCATAAAGAGATGCATAGGGTGAGTAATCATAACTTCTATAAAGACACCCCCCTTGTATAAAGAAGGTGGAGGGGATTGGATGTTGAGTGTGTCTTTAAAATTGTTGTAGATTATGTAGAAGTTTGAAAAGAGGTTGCAGTACTTGACTGAGTTGACTCATCAGTTGCGAGCACAAATGAGCACTCTCTGAGGGTGCGGGATGCTAGCAGAGTCCAATCAACGGGCTCTGAGATTAACTATGTATTCTAGCGCTAATATTATTTTCTTGGCATCTTTAGAAGAATCAACAGGCTTTGAAGAAAGTTACATGGAGTACTCCTAATAACATAAAAAGTGTAATTTATGCTTGATTAATGAAAGAAATTTACATGGAGTACTCCTAATAAATGAAAGAATTCTTTTGTATGATATCAATGTTATCCACAATAATAAGGATCATATCTATGTGTTTTGTGTTTTAGCGCTAACATTATTTCCTTGACATCTTTATAAGAATAATCATTTATAACAATTCACCCTCCAATTTAGTCCAATCTTGATATTCAAAATCTTCTTTAATACATTCCTTTTTTTTTCTTATTCTCATATCAATTAATTATTGATTCAGTATAATTTAAAATAAAATAAAAAATTAATAACATAACTAAAGAATCCGCTATAATTCAATTAGATTTTAAATTCTTTGATGCTTCATTTTCGTTTTGTTTTTTCTATTGAATGATTGTAACACAAAAGTTGCTTCTAATTTAATAGCTCGATTAATTTTAGCTTTGATATATTTGTTTTTCATCTCTCAAACAAATTTATCTACCTTCAATTTCAGATTCTTCACTATTTTTTTGATCTATTCACTTATCACCGGATGCTAAAGCATCAACACAAAAAAGAACCAATTCCTTCATCACCAATTTTTCTATCTTTGATACTGTAGATATCTGTCTTTTAATTCTTATTGAATGCAATATAAACCAACATGCTCAACCCTTTCGTAGCCAATTGGCTCTTTTTTACACGCACTTGATTGCAGATGCACTGATTACGTTCACATTTGAATGTTGAACAAGTAAGCCTAAGAAATTTGACCGCAACTGCTTAAGATGTACAATCTTCATTGCGCCCATCCCTTTTTTTTATTAGTATGAAAAAATGATTAATATATAGAAATTTAAGAAGCTTAAATATAAACGTTTAATTATAAAATTATAAGTGTATACATATTTATCTGAAAGCTATTGAAATTTTTTTAATTTGATCATTATCATTTACATAATCCACCAAATGACAAGCATATTCATGCAATATGTATATAAACTAGTTTTGATTTGCTAATCTACACGGTAGTTTTGTCTTAATGAAATTAAGGATTTATGTAATATGTTGATGCGTAGACAACTTAAACTCATATGAGAAAGTAATTTCATCTCATTATGAACAACTTCCTTTCCGTATTTCTTTTTTTTTCCTTATCAATAGTCTATATACAAATTATATTCCTGGAGCATCACGTTCAACCATCCTCAATATTTTTATCAAGGAATTTTTTCAAAATAATTTACTCATTTGTTTCCTTTGTGCTTTTTTGCTCATCAACCTTTTTTTCATGCTTCAGGACCCCGAGTTCATCCATTAAATGAAATAAAAAACTTCTATCTATGACTTTTTTATGAAAACTAATAAATCAAAATGTTGTATATTAGAAAATTTGATTTCAGACAGCATAATTAGAGGAGATCTATTTACATGATCTTTTCTATATTGGAGTTATTCCTAATCTAAAGAGATAGGAGTGTAATATATATTTTTAGTTAGGAATAAAAAAAGAGCAGAGATAGGAGTGTGTATAAATATGTAATATATATTTTTAGTTAGGAATAAAAAAAGAGGAAGTTTCCCCTCACATGGTATCAGAGCCTCATCAAATAGTTCTCATCTTCGTCGTTCGTCTTCGAAGTTAGCCTCGTTCATCTTCGGCTTCATTCGGGTCATCTTGATCGCTATATTTCGACGTTGTCTACACCCTTGCATCATACGGTGTCGTCTTTGATTTTGTTTGTTCATTTTTGGTTTCTCCAGACTTTGACATCATGTTCGTTTTCACATCAAAGGTGTATTCGACTTAATCCAGTGTCGTTTACATTAGCTTCGTCGCTATGCAATATCATATGTGATTCATCTGTATCCAACATCGAACTCATTGCTCTGCATCAACAGGATTAGGACATCGACGAAGCCCTAATATGCTTTGGCCGCTCTGTCTACTTCAATCTTTAGTAGTTTTCAATCTGAGCCGTCTGCTTAGGTCGATTTTGTTCGGCTAGTTCATTTGGTTTAGCCGATTTAGTTGTTTTTTTTTTTTCTCTTTTCTAGGCAATTGTTGAACAGTTATTTATCTCCTAGTGCTTTGAGTGTTACTTCAGCTCGTCTTTCAGCACTAAATGACATCATTTATGGCTCACGAACAAAAACATTTTGTGATAGGTTTGGTTTCATTAGTGGGTAAGATTACAAATGAAAAATTAAATGACAATTTTTTTTATTGGAATAAAACTATGAGACTACCTAAGAAGTATCTCTTAAGAGAATCACCTCATTGATAATCCTCCGACTCGAGACGGATCTGAATTCTTTTGAGTGGATAAGGCTTTATACCTAGCTTTTGATACGAAACTCCATCAAACTAAATCGGTCTAGTCATATCACTTATTGTGAACGTGTTAAACATATAATGGAGGAATTGACATTTTTGTTTTCTGGGAGAGAATATTTCTTGTATTTTTTATGTATGCAAAGAGTTTTATCGCGTTGAACAATAGAATCGATCACTTAACATTTATCAAATGCACTTTAAACATGTTTCTGAAGAATTGAATGCCTTATTGCCCTTCAGTACCAATGTCCAAATTCAACAAGCTCAAAGATAACAAATCACTGATATGAGTTTTCTAGTTGGCATCAAGTCTCAGTATAAATTTGTCAAATCACATATCTTATTTGATCATGAATCCACTACTCTGAGGGAAACCTA